ATATCAGCTCCAACACAAAGCCATGATAAAGACAAGTTGGAATAACAATTTAACAATAATTATTCAGCAAAGCTCTTTTTATGCTTGTATTGTACCATGAAAAACAACACACATTTGCACACAAGGCTCTCACCCTGTAAAAATATTACCCATCTGAAAATGCAATCACAAGAAGTTAACATCACCTAAAACTTGTTTCCTCTTCCTGTTAATTTTCATATCTTTTCTCTTTTTCTTTCTCGGTTTCATTTGATACTCGATTTCAGATACGGCTCGAGTCCCTCCCGAACACAAATCTCCTTGTCCAGTCACTAACCACTAGAAATCTCGTGCGCCAGCTAACTTGCTTACTGCACAATATCAACACAACAGAAACTGATCAATTCAGTTTATTGTTATTTTCGCCGTTTATTTTTTCGTTTTTTGTTTGTTGATAAAGTGTGCTGACCTGGCATATACAGAATACCAAAGCCATTGTGTACTTTGACCCATTGAAACCCAGTCCCCGGGAAGCTCTGCCGCTGCTTGCTCTCCTCCAAGGGGTGCAAATTGCCCGAAATGTTTGTACCTAACGTAAAAAAGTAGGACGAGCTTTTTTAAAAAGCTTGAACTTATCTCAAAAGCTTCTTTGGGTAACTTTTCAAATAAGCTCGTTGAAATTTTTATTTCAGCTAGCTTATCATCTAATTATACCCAACACTTTTATCATATAAGCTAGCTTTTTAGCTATAAGCTCGAAAATCACATTTAAGCTATAAGCTAGCTTATCAGCTATCATCTAGCTTATTAGCTAATTTTACCAAACATAGCCTAAGTATAGGAATCAACATTATGCACTAAGAGAAAAAAGTCATACTGAAAAGGCCGAAATTCATGACGACCGCCACTTCGGAACTTGCGTGGGCCCTCTGGTTCTAATTTGCATTTTTCACGCAAGTTGAAGCACCTAGCAAGATACGCGCCTTGTTGTGCCGCAACCTAATATATTCCCATCACACAATATATATATATATATATAAAAAAAAAAAAAAAAAAAACTCATAACTTGTGACAAAAATTGCAAGGGCATTTGAAATGTAAGCAAAGGATCTTACCTGAGCTGTAGCAGGAAGGCTCTTTGTCTGCTTATCCACTTGTGATAGTGCTGATTTGAAACCTTCGATGTCCACTTCATCTCTTTCATTACCATCTGCATCTTTTAGCAGGTCTGTAACGTCAAAGAGATGCTTGTGCTTCAGATAAAGCTCGACTTGAGGATATCGGATGATTATATCCGTAACCACGTCTTTGAATTCTTCGACTGTTAGGGTACCCGAGTTATCCTTGTCTGCAGCTTGGAATATGGCCGTAATATCTTCCTGAAAGATAAAGAGATGAAAAGCTAAGATTCTATCACAACTGCAAAAAGATTTTACTTTTTCCTTTTGCTCTCATATTAAAACAAAAGTTCCAAACCAAAACTTCAAAGACAATTTTGTGAATAAAATTGAATTCATTGTTTCTGTTTTTGTTGGTTGTTAAAAAAAAATGCTCTCTGCTCTGCAAGAACTGACCAGCATTCTTTTCATTTCACAACATGTGTCATGCTAATAAATACAGTATAAACATATAGCTTCTTTTGTTCCTTAATTTACTTTCATTCCAGAACTAAAAAAAAGTGGATCTACGCTTGTGTGAGAGCTGAAAGCAAGTAATAAATGTAATTTTTTGAATCCTTCGTTCTCTTAACAAAAATAAGCTCACAGCACCGGAGCCACATGTGGTTACTCTTTTTAACTTTCGTTTAGTACATCAGCCATTTAAACTTATAGAAGCAGCTGCTTACTGTCATAACTTAATCCTTGATGTTCGCATCTTCAAACATAACATAAACAAGTCAATTTGAAGCAGATCACAAAAGGGGAAAGGATTAGACACAGCATGATGTGTAATTAACTTAGAATATTACCCTGATCTTTTTTTGATCCACTGTGGCACAATCACCAAGAGCATACACATCCTCAGATCCCTTTACACGCAGCCATTCGTCAGTCGCCAAAAAAAATAAAAAATAAAAAAAATAAAAAAGAAAACCATTGATTACTAACACTTATAAAGCAAATACAGCACAGAAATAAAACCTGGCCAATATTTTCCATGAAATCCTTCACAACTGGCCTAGTCCCGACCCCAGTCGACCATACTATCATGCCGTGGGGCATCGAAATATTCTGCCCATCTGATTTCTTCTTCATGTCTATCATTCTGTCTGTAACACTCAACACACGGTGACCCGTTAAAACCTCAATCCCATCCCTTTGAAATTTCTGTTCAGCAAACGAGCTTATTCTTTCATCATACCTGCAGCAGCCATAAACCTCAGAATATTATAACACACGGACAAAAAGAAGCTTCGCCAATGAACTTCAACATGCTAGTTTGGATATATGTAGCCAATAATAGATAAAATCATGCACGGTTGTTTGTTTTTTCCTTACGTGTTCAAGATGTGATCACCGGATTGTATCACAGATATGTTGACAAGATCTTTGACCGAAGGGTATAATTTGACCAAGTCTTCGTGAACAAAATCGTGAAGTTCAGCTGCAAATTCCACACCAGTGGGGCCTCCACCGACTATTACAAAATGGAGGTTAGTTCTCCGCTCTTCCTCGGTTAATTCAGGAAGGACAGCTTTTTCAAAACAATCTATCACGGTCCTACGGATTCTTTGAGCATCCTCCACTTCCTTCACAAGATATTATTACATACACTTCGTAAATAGGAAGATTATATAATCAGTCAATTCTCAAATAAAGGACATATTACCTTGAGAAAATGGCAATGCTCTGATACGCCAGGAGTACCAAAAGTGTTCACTTGAGCTCCAATGGCTATTACCAGGTAATCATATTCTAACGAGAACTCATTACTCCCAGCTAAGTTCTCGTCAATATTAGACCGGCAAAACACCTTTTTGTTCGTGGGGTCGATCTTGAGGCATTCAGCTTCCCAGAACTTAATTTCACCATTTCTCTGTCAAAGGGTTTCCGAGAAGAAAGTTTCAAGAACACAAGTATAGCACTATTGAAATAAAAGTACGAAAGCTAACAACTCGTGATGTTGTAATAAAAGAAAAATGTAAAAACCACAGTTTCCTTGAATAATATACACTCAAAGATTCAAGTTTCACCTTCTTTATAATGTTACGAACTGGCTCAACAATGCTTCGAGCCTCGACTGTTCCACATGTGACACTGGGTAACAAAGGGGTGAATGCAAAGTAGTTCCTAGGTGAGACCACTTGAACATCGTAAGACGAGATATCGAGATCCTTCAGAAAGCTGGTCCCAGCCCACCCAGTCCCAAGAACTACCACCTTTTTCTTTTGAGTTTCCTTCAGATTCTGTACAGCACTTGATTCTTTACCTTCTGAAGGAAAATCTGCATATGCTATCAGGCTCCCAGTACTGTTGACAGCTCGATAGCAAAAGAAATATTCAGTTAGAATTGAGCAGTGCTGAAAAAAAATGGAGGTAGATGGTCAAAGCTGATGAAATTAGATCAGTGTGATAAAATGTACAGAATATTGTCTAATCAAAGACAATGGCTCTGTTTCTTGACAGGTATCCTCTCAATTGGGGAAAAAAACAGTAGAGGGGATTGAACTTTGAGCAATTAAAATTTTGGTGTCTCCCATATGTTTGAAAAGGCTTCAATAGTAAGTTAAACGAGTTCCTTAAAGGAAGGTTGAAAAAATCTAATCTTTTTATTGTAAATTAAGAACAGTCTTCTCACAAATCAAAGGGACCACGTTATCACGCCACACAACACTAAACTAAAAGCACCAAACTCAGCAGATCATGTTTAATAAAGAGAATTGTGCCAAAAATATCTCTAACATTCAACTCAAGAAAGAAAACGCGACATCATACGAAGGGGGCCAAATGTAACCTGACAGAACAAAGAACCAAAAGCTTGGCTGAAGTTGGATATGCCTTCAAAATCCGGTTGAAATATGGGAAAAAACTCATCTTTTTATCTCTTTTTCCTTTCTTGTAGATGGAGCTGAGCTGATACCTCAGTGGAACTTTCGAAAATCTGGGTCACAGAAAGCATCCACTTTCGGGCTTCAGGTTCTGCTGTAAATGCCCTGTAGAGATCCGTCTTTGTGATGAATGCCGGTAAAAGATGAATTTAAGACCTGACTTTTTTTTTTTTTTTAACGATAGAATATTTGGACTAAAGACTGGAAAACTGGGAAGGAGAGAAAATTTAGGTGGATTTGGATATAAGATTAATCAAGATTTATTTATCACATTAAACTGAGAAGTTGACAATAAGGTAATAAAGAAATGTTCTTTTGATCTTTTCATCATAACTTTTCCTATTTTTCCTGTACTATTACGCTAATAACAAAGGGTTATTTTTATTTTTCTATAATATAGTCTCTAATTATTACGTTCACCATAGTTCAAACATATTCTGCATTTATTTAAAATACTACTTTTTTTATTTTTATTTGGTAATGGGGACAAAATTTGATTTTACATATTAAGTTGAAATTTGGATCCAAAATAAGCGAGGCGAGCTTACAACAACAAGATTAGAGGCAGACCCAATATTGTGACATTCATATTGTTTTTCTAAAATATGCATAATTTTAATTTGAAATATATAATTTAAACAAAAATATGTTATTTCATAATATAAATATATAGAGTATTTCTTACACAAGATTTTGTATTTACATATGACAGTTGACACTGACAACTTTCTTTCATCATTTCAGTCACCATATATATCATTTATTCATTTACTGTTACTAAGTGCTGCTTAAACTTTAAATTATCAAATTACGAGTGTGATTTGTCAATTTTATTGAAAAGAAAAATGCTAATCTGAGGATAAGAGGGGGACTTACGGAGTGTTTCAAATCAATAATTGAAACTCATAAAGGCCATGTGGAGCATTCTGGTGCTCTCTTATCCGTAAGCAGATATATCATATATGGCGCCCTGCATTTTTTATTTTAATTTCTTTTTTACAAGATTGTTTATTTTGGGGCTCTTGAAAATAGTCAAAACTTTGTATTTTATATGACTAAATGATGGTTATAATACTGTAGATTAAATATTAAAAGAGTGAAAGTCCTATGTATAACAAAAATCTAGAATGCAATGGTTAAAATAAAGAGATAAGAAAACCTCGTTCTTTAAAGCTTATGAAAAATAGAGAAGAACTAACATCCTAGAAAACTTAATTAACTCAGAGGTGCAAAAATGACAGTGAAACCTTACAAGAAATTCTAAATTTCTTTAAGGACCTTTTTAGAATTCCTCTAACCCTTCTCTGAGTAGGTGTGATCTTCTTGATATGCTTGTGATCATTAATGCTGCAATGAATCAGGGCGTAACTTAACATGTGGAGAACAAAGAAATAAAAATAAAAAAAAATAAAAAAAAACTCTTTTTGAGATGAACCCTGATAAACCCTTGGCATTGATGGCATGACACATTTTTTCAGACCTCTTGAAATATTGTCAAAGATAAACTGTGTCTTGTTGTAGCTATCAATCGCAGCAGAATTCCTAAATCAACAAACCACATTGTTATTACCCTGCTACCAAAAACAAAAAAATCCTCAAAAAGTTACTGATTTCAAACCCATAAGACTTTGTATAGTTAAGTTTACCGATGAATTTGATCAATCAAAAGTACCAGTATAATATGATGAATTTGCACAAAAATAGGTAATGACGAGGTCGGATAAATTAGTAATTGAGCTCGGATGCTCTGTCTTTAATGTTGTATCAAATAGGAGAATTTATGTCTTGAGTTCTGTAATTTTTTTGAACCTTTTTACAATAGATTCCTATAATTATTCATAGTAAAGATGACCCAGCAAATGTTCATTGGACAGTTAAATTGAAATGACATGCATTTAATGCGGCACATGACCCTATAAAACTATGACACGCAGTCTGACAAGAATTTAGTGGGTGTGTGTCACATCTTTTGCTCATTTGGCTAAAAGTTGCGATTATTTTAATATTTTCCGTCGACTTAATGCGCTTGGCTCGGGTCTTTGGTATTAACTCCTTTCATTTTATCAAAGTCTTGAGCTCGGTTCTGCTAATTGACAATTTATTGGTCGAGCTTGCACTTATGGGTATCAGCCTGGGCATCCTATTTGCTTCTTGCTCAGCACCTACCTAATTGTTTCTGCTTCTGGGATTTACTTTCCCTCGCAAACCTCTGAGTCGAGTACTCAACTTGGCTACTCCTCCATTTAGTGATCGTATCTAATTCCAGTCTCCACCCGGTTCAACTCAAATGTTAACATACAAGCTCCCAATCTCGAATGAAGCACCATTGATCGTTTCTTCTGAGGTCGTCATATCAAACAGAGAATCCGAGTTGACCGAGGGACCTCCCCAGCCACTTTCTCATTTATCGAACAGGCTCAAATTGCTTTGGACTTTAGCATGATTGTGTATTTTATGAAAAAAATCATACTCAAACAAATGAGCCAAACTTAAGCTTTCACAAAACAGAGCAAAGTTGTATTTGTTTGTGTGCTATATAAGACCTTCTATCGTTTGAAAAAAAAAAATAACAATTTATAGTTGATTTGTAATTTTTTAGAAGATTGTTTATTTTATTTAACTTACACAGAGATCCCAAAAAACACTATTTTTCTTCTATTTGTTTCTTTGCTCTTGTTGAATAGAAGGTGTATACTATCAAAACTCATTTTAATTTAATGTTTCTTTTTTAAAAAAATAGCTTAATTTTATTGATATTGATAATGATACAAGTTTCATAAACCTTTCATTCAACGGAAAAAAATTATTGATATTGATAGTGATATAAGTATATAAAATTTTTAATAAATCTAAAAAAATACATGAGAAAGAAATACTCCCTCCTATTTATAATAAATGTCGTTTTGGAAAGTTGCACATCAATTAAAAATAATTTTTTTGCTAATAATAACCTTCATTAATGAAGAAGAGGTGGATGTTTTAAAAAAAAAAAAGATGAAGAGAATATAAAAGGACATAGTGTATTTATTAACTAAATGAGGTTAATAATGAAAAAATATGTACAAAAGATCAAAAACAATATTTATTTACATTAATAGTTGATAAAACTAAAATGACGTTTAAAAAAAATAAGAGGTAGTATATAAAAGTCTCAATAACTTTTAAAAAGTACAAGGTAAGATAAGATTTTTATCTATATCTCCTAAACTCCACCGAAGTCATTAAAGTTTCTCAAAATCCAACAAAGTCACTTACATTAAACTTTTTTTTTTTTTTTAAGTTTCAATTGGATACAATATATTGTATACATCCCTAAACCTGGCAGTGAAGGGCAATGGTATGGTAAAACCTCAGACAAACAATGAAACCAAACAAATACATAAACCCAGTCATTGTCTACAAATCCTGGTCCAATTTTGAGAAACAAAAGCACATTTTACTTGCCTCAGTCAATGGATTTTGATCCTATGTAATATGGGTCTTCCAAGTGGGTTCACCTGCAGATGCAGGCACTTGGCCTCACCACAACTCATTTACTATCCATTATAACATCATTGGCATATAACTTAAATCTGGGTACCTTAGATTTACTTCACATCAAGTTACATAAAGAATAAGCACATTTACCAGTAAAATATAAAAACTAGTGATTTCAAGATATGGTATGGCAAGGATGACACAGCAAGAGACCTTAAAATTGTGTATTAACCCATCACTAAAAACAAACATAATCAATTGAAAGATGATTAAGAAGTTGTAAAATCAAATTAAATCCAAAAGGAAAAGAGGGCTGATGGAAATTAAACAGCTTTATCAATCAAAACTTCCTGAAGCAGAACGGGCTGTCAAGCTGCACAATAAATCACCTCTGCCAAAGTACAAAAAACACAGCTAACACAGCAAAGATTAAATGTTTGTACTCAATGGCTCATATCAAGAAATTCAATGTCAAAATCTCAGAAACACAGATAAGAAATTAATCACAGGCATGAACTTAGATATTCCCAAGCAGAAATTAAAAACAAAAGCACACCAAACATGAAATCCAGAGCTTGATATGATATAATTAATAATATAGCCGTTTGTTTGACACAGATGGGTCGTGGGGATAAAGGTACAAAAGCGACAGATCTGCAACACTAAAGGGCGAAAATTTAGCACTAGCATTGGGGCTTCTTTCTACATCGGTGAGTTTCAGAGGAGCCCGGGGTTGCTATGTGCAATAAACACAAAGATAAATTAAAACACATAAATTCATGAACGCATGAAATTAAGAGGATCTGAAGAGAAGAGCTCATATATGTACCAAGAGGCTACAGAGGCTGCAGAGGAATTTTGGGCTTTATATAGAATTTGGGAGCGGAGTTTGGAAATTGAAAACCCTAATTGACTGCTTATCTGAATCCTGAAACGGCCGGTATAAGCATAGCAAACCCGCTAACCCTGTCCAAATTAAATTACTGAAATAACCCAATTTCTCGGGTCGACGAATATGAAATGAAGAACCGGAACTGGCATGGAGTATGAATAGAGGTGTATACAAGTTGAGTCGAGCCAAGCTCGAACTTCATGTTACTCGAGCTTGAGCTTAAGCCCTTAACGAGTTGAGCTCGCCTCATTAAGTCCGAGCCTTAATGAGTCATAATTCAGCTTTAACGAACCAAAGTATAGAAAATTATTTAAAAATCATCTTTTCGAGCTGAAGCAAGCTCAACTTTTTTACTAAACGAGCTTTACATAAGATTGAGCTCGACTCATTTATCAAACGACCGAATTGAGCCGGCTCACGAGCTGCTCGTTTAATTTAATAGCTCCGAGATTCCAGTTCAAGAACATGTAGGTTATGGTGCGGACCCGTATATTTTGGGTCGCTCCATTTATCCAAGTGTTTTTTTGTTTTTCTAAATAAAAATGAAAAATTGGCTTCAGACGTGGTTCTGGACAGGGTGACTGTTGGACCCGGTTCTGGATCGGATCTGAAACTGTGTCGACACGTTAAATTTTGTAATCCATAATTTTTATTTTTTACCAACCAAACCCGGCGGGTTGGGCCGGTTCTCGGGTTGGATCAGACACCCATCGTGTCAATTTTTTTGGAAGCTTGAATTGGTAAATGCTGCCTGTTTGCACACATGAATTTGTGCTATGAATTTTGCCCCAAGAAATGCTGCCCAAATTGCAAATAATTCAGATGTTTCAAAACTCAAAATTGGAGCATACCCTCTTACCCAAGTTCTGCACCTAAAAGGTAAAAACACAGTTACAGAAAACTTCATGGTAATCCAGTCTAATCCAAGCCCGCCAGCCCGGCGCCTTTCAAAACAATACACAAAATGCAAACAAAAACAGATAACAGAATACAGGACAAAAATTCTGTATTTCTAAAGAAAAAAAAACCACATCTACACAATCATCCAAGTCAGATGCCGATACCCGGCCCACTTAGCCGCAACCCGGGCCCCAATCGCCAGCCCAGCACACAGCAGCGGAAGAGGAACCCTTTTCCTTCTTACCCCTCCATCCCCATCTTCTTTCAAATCCACGGGCCTTCTTGAACGGTAAAACACAGCCAGGCCCAAATACAAGCCCATCGTGACCACTCTGACCCACGGCTCCCCCACAGCAACCAAAACAGCAGCAACAGGCAATGCAGAAGACACGTAATCCCTCCCTTTCACAGAACTATTGAACCAAAACAGAACCACGAGTAAAGTCCAGAAAAAAAGCTCGGTTATGTAGTTTCTAACTGCGGCAAGCCCGATCAAGCCCGCTAATGTGAGCATGTACGGCTGGCTGTCGACGGAATCCGGGACAGCTGTCTCGGCCACGGCGAGCACTGCTGATGTCAGCATGACGATGGTTGCCAGCTCGGAGATGGGCGCGTGCGAAATTATGCTCGAGTAGAAAGCTCGAACGGAGTAGAGTGCTGTCTCGACTGCTCGTATGGAAGAGGTAAGTGGGTCACCAATGAAGCGGAATATGAGGGCTAAAATAATTTTCGAGATGTAGGCTAAGAATCGGCCGATGGCCGTGAGAGCCCGTTTCCAGTTGAAGAGTTCCCATAGAACAGCCCTCCAGGCGTAGGCCATGAATGCCAGCGCTGTCGATTGTTGAAGAGTGAAGGATTTTAAGAACAGAGAGAATCAAGAAAAAAAGGGGTTTCTCATTGGATCTGAAACAATTATGTGCAGAAATAAAGTTGCAAGGTGAACTTGACAAACTTAAGAAAGTTGTGAAAATATATACTTAACTGTTGATAATACACAATGATTTGAAAAATATTAACTTTGACTGTTACGTAGTATGAAAAACTCATTTAGCAATGGAGGGGATATGATACAAGATATTACGGTACCTCTTTCTCACTCATCATATGTTATGCTAAATAATACACATAGGAAGAACACTTTCAAAACACATTCATGAAAACTAAGGGGCTTACAAGATAAGAATGGTAAACATCTCTTGCAAACATAAGTAGTGAAGATTATGGACAGAAAGGAAGGTATATAATATTTTCAATATGAAGTTTACGTCGTCTTTGACTGAAACATCAGGCAGTTTCAGTTCTTGATTCCTGCACCACATGCGTATACAGATTATAGACTAACCCGTCAACCATGTACCCCTGATCATGATTCATCATCAGCCCTTACGAATATGCAAAGTGATGAATAAGATTTTTTCAACAAAATATGATCACTTTACTATGAAGGGAAACTCTAACTAGAAATAGACATTAAAAGGCCCTCCCACACAAAACTAACAAATAACCATAATAAGCAAATGTCTCTCTTTGTAGCTAGTTCAAGCTACAAAATCCAATAACGGTGCATGTATTAACTACAAAATTATTCTATTTCCTGGCTACAATTCTTCTTCGCCATAATCCCCAATTCACGTTTCACAATTAACTTAGTAAAACCAAAACAATAGTATACTCCTTTGAAAATAAGAGCAAGAGAAGCTACCAACTCTTGAAAAAATAAGCAGTCCCCCAGTATACATTTCAGGTATAACTTCACACCATTAAACTAGGCATACACTCAATACATGCCAAATTTTTTTGGATCTATACTAGAAGGGGATTCAAAAAATGAAACTTGGATAATTAAAACAATAATTATGACAGTAACCCAACAACCAAACCCCAACCGATAATCCATATACATACCACAGCAAAAGGATGGAAAAATTCACAAGCAAGAGTTTAGAAAAAAAGAAAGCATAAAAGAATAGAAACAAGAAGACAAATTTAAGCTAACCAATGACCCAAGGCCACCGAAGAGGCTTAGCAGGAACTTCTTTAGTCAAATGTCTAAATCTTTCAGGCATACTGCTCTCCTCACGATCCTGGACTTCTTCTTTCTCCGTGTTACCGCTGGATTCAATCCCATATTGTGCATTCACTGCAAATCGACGAGATTTTACCTGAAATTCAACAAAATGTTTTTTGAATGGCCCGTAGAAAATTTGGGGGTTTCTTAGCTTGTTCAGAGGTTTCGCATTTGTTGGTAAGGAAGAGGAGGCGAGTGATAATGAGCGGCTACTGTGGTTAATTCGAGGGGAATTGGTCGGTGAGAAGAGGTTTATGGGGGTTTTGCAGTGGAGAGCTGAGAGTGTCATCGACATCGCTAAGCTGAAGATTTGAATTTCGCAGATTTCAGGATTTAGCCATGAAAAGGGGTTTTAGGAATTGGGGAGAGGAAACAGAAAGAGTAGGTTTTATGACTTTTATCTATTTACATTTTTTCATTTAATTTTAAATTATTATTATTATTATTATTATTATTATTATTATTATTATTATTATTATTATTATTATTATTACTATTACTATTATTATTATTTATGTATAAATTTTAATATTCAACTACTCACACGTTTATGACTATTCATCATTATTTTTATTTTCCTATTTTGTATCAGATATAATTATGTATTATTTTCACAAAAATTTAAATAAGTGAACTCGATTTGGATAATTATCTAGTTGCAATAAAAAATAAAAAAATAAAAAATATGTCCAACTAGTTCTGGTTTTAAAATTGTAAATCGAGTTATAGACTTATAGTGATATAAATAATTAAATATTAAAATATTTATGTAAATTAAAAATCTACTCAAACTCAAGAAAAAATGGAAAAGCAAAATGATCAGTGCGGCTAATCACACCACTCTCTTATTTTATTTATAAAAATATAATTTAATTTAAAAAAAAGAATAATACATAAAGAGAAAAATATATGTGAATTTACAATAGACAATACAAAACTTATATAGCATATAAATAAATTTTTAGTGAATGACCATATAAATTATATTAATATTTTTTTATAGTAAAATACATGTATAGTAAAGAACTTACAACCAAAAGAAGAGATGTGGTAGTAATATTATACTGTTATATCAAATTATAATTACACTTACTATTTACCACAATAACAAAAAACAAAATTAAATTAATTTTTAAGCATAAATGTTACAACATTTATTGAATACTATAATATTTAAAAGACTAAAAATTATACGCAGAAAATGAAAAAAACATTGTCATTAATTATGTGCTTAATTACAATTATATACATGTATAGATTTCGTAAAATGTGCTAACTATAAATGTTACTAACTCTTGAAATACTTATAATGTAAGAATCAAATGTTTTATAATTTTAAAAGGTCATTGAAGCCTAGACATGTACTATTCTAAAGTTGATACATGAATAATTGACTATTCAAATGTACTATTCAAAAGGTCATTGAAGCCTAGATAATAGTACTCTTCAAATGTACTATTCTAAAAGCCTAGATATGTACTTAAACTATGGAGCACCAAAATAAAAATAAAATAAAAATCAATAAAAGAGCCGTTTGCCTCTATTTGTGTTGGTATACTTTGTGAATTGGGAAGCCTCCATTACATATGCAAAAGATGAAATTTTGCATTTTTGTATTTACATTTTTAAGCCATAACATCGTTTTGAGCCTCCATTGCAGGTGCACAAGGCGAAGGAGACCTTTCAGCAATCACTAGTTAACCAATATTCTATTCCATAAACACATATATTTATATTAAAAACTCTCAACTATGTATTTGTAGCGTGCTTGTTGAGGAAGGTGATGAGAAGCTTGTTAACGTCAGACCGTAATCTTTCTTTCCCATTATTAACAAAGATGGAGCTTCAATTTTAAGCTCATCAACTCCATAGTCTTCCAGCCACCACCTGAATCTCAACTCTCTTAGAAAATCTAAAAATTTGCAATATAAACATATCAAGACATTCATCAATAATCGACCACACAACATTATCAGAATTATATGATTCGTGTGAACATTAGAGTAGGAAAAGCATTCAAGCTCATGCTTAATTTGAGTATTAATGAAAATGTCTTGCTGTTGATTTTCATTCTCTAATAATCTTGTATATAATCGAATCAATTTTATCATGCTTGGGATCGTGATGTTAGTGCCATAACTAAGATCAAATTCAATGCAACAATTAAACCATGCATTAATACTATATTAAGCCTCAGATTTAATTGATCCATAAACATATCAAAACACTCATCAATAATTGACCACTCAACGTCTCAACATATCATCACAAAATTTCCGATACACAAATATGTTTTCTCTTAGAGGCAAATTAGTAGTTATTTGACAAATATAATTCATCAAAATATATGTCTAAGACCACCTCCAATCGAACTGGAAAACACAAAATGAGGGAAGAAAATTGCTCCAACCGAATCTCAAACTCATACGCAAAATGCGTTTGGTCTCCTTTTCTCTCTCCTATTGACGCAAATATGCGTTTGCATTTCAGGACATCGCATAATTTTTATGCAATCACAAACTAGTCCTCAATTTTTTTTAAATGTCCAATTTGCTATCTATTAAATTTATATAATATATCTATTTGCTTTATATTTATAAAATACTATCACTGTTTATATGAAAAATGGTTAAATATGTTTATTTACTTTATATTTCTAAATTACAATTTGTTTGAAATATTATAACAATCATATATTTAAATTTTAAAAAAAAGTAGATATTGTATCTATGTTAATATTACTGATAGTTTATATGTCAATAATAATAATAATAATAATAATAATAATAATAATAATAATTATAATAATAATAATAATAATTATATCTATAACATTTTCTATACATTTTACTACATGTTTCTATACAATATTGAGGTGTAATTTTATTACATGTTTTCAAATATGTATAATTTTTATTATGTCCTTAATGTTTTTTTATTCGGTTAGAGTAATTTTTAATTTTTCATAAATATATATTTTTCGATTTGTCATGTGTACAAATATTTATTTTATAATTAGTATTATTATATATTTTTCCAATCAAAATTTAAAATAAAATTGTGGTCTAATTTGTAAATTTGTAAAAGGTGTGGGTAATATTAAAAAAATATAAAAGGTGATGAGAAAGAGAATATTTCAGGAATATTCTTTTGGGTTTGAGTATGAGTTTTTCGGTTGGAGAAGAATTATTGTTTGATGTGACAGTTACTGCAAAATGAGTTTGAGAATGAGTTTGTCGGTTGGAGATGGTCTAAGAATTCAACTAAACATCTCATAGCTAATCGTAATATAAAAACGAATCTCCAAAAGTAGCACAAATAAGATTCTTAAATCTATGGTGGTGAAACATAGTTGGTGTTGAATATTATATGAATATTACTTATGAGTTGTCCCACATTGGTTTTACAGAAAAAATGAGCCTAGTTTATAAGTTTACTGGGCTACTTCTCCCATTACCGTTTAGTTTCGAGATGGAACCTCATTACGGTGCACATTTGTTCACTCTCTTATAGTGTGTATGAAATGAACACGATGAACATAGCTTGAACCTAACCCTGATCGACTCCATTTGGGCCGCTATGGATCGGGTCAAAGTTGAGTTCACTGACTTGGTCCACCGAGTTTGAGCCGACTACTACATCATATTTTATTATTTATTCATTTATTTATTTTAAAATAATATTATGTATATATTTATGTGACAAATATTCAAGGTAAAATATTTTAAAATTTATATAATTTTACTATTATATATACTATTATGTATACATTTATTATTAAAATAAAATGATGTATTTACTATATATATGTATTTATATATTCGTGACAAATAGTATATATAATTTTACTATATATAATAGTATATATACATAATTAATATATATACATAATTTCTAAAATCTAATTATAAGATAATAAATTCTAATTTATAACATAATAATATTTAAATTCTAGTATAATTTATATAACAAATAAAAACTTGATTATAACAAAAAATATTGCGCGGCCTACCGGGAAAAACTGACCGTGCACGGTGCAGCCAATTGACGAAACCGGCCATGCACGGTGCTGTTAACCGACAAAATTGGTCGTGCGCGTTGCGGCCAACCGGCGATTACGGCCGTGCCGGTTATGACCGGTTTCTCTGGCCGGCTGGTGGGAGAATTTGT